GCCGGACGAACCTCACCAGGCGCGGAGTGGCCCAAACCCTCCTGGCATGGAGAGCATGGGAATGGTGTACAGTGTCCCCAGTTCTTGCAATGGACCTACAGAATCAACCTTCTCCACTTCCTGGAAGGGAGATGCTTTTACCTACATGACTCCAAGTGCCACCAGCCAGAGCAATCAAGTCAATGAAAATGGGAAAAATCCTTCCTGTGGGAATTCTTGGGTCTCTCTAGACAAAGTCCCACCTCTGGTTCCTAAGGAGGCTGCTACCCTCCTTGTTGCTCGTGATAACCCAGCAGGATGCAGTGGGTCAGCTGGCTACCCTGAGCACCTTATTCAGCGAAGGCACATGCCCGAAAGACCCTCCAAGATTGGCCTTCTGACCAGTGGGACCACAAGGCTGGAGACAGGCCCCGGCGGGGCCAGCAGATTCCGGGAGCGGTCACTGTCTGTGCCCACAGACTCAGGCACCACAGATGTGGACTATGATGAGGAGCAGAAGGCCAATGAGGCCTGTGCCCTGCCTTTTGCCAGTACAAGCTCTGAGGGCAGTAACAGTGCTGACAACATCGCCTCCCTTAGTGCCCAGCAAGAGGCCCAGCACAGAAGGCAGAGGTCCAAGAGTATCTCACTTAGGAAGGCCAAAAAGAAGCCTTCCCCACCCACGCGCAGTGTCTCACTGGTCAAAGATGAGCCAGGCCTCTTGCCTGAAGGTGGGTCAGCACTACCCAAGGACCAGAGGCCCAAGAGCCTTTGCCTCTCCTTGGAACACCAAGGACATCACTCGTCCCACCCAGATGCTCAGGGTCACCCAGCTGTTCCAAACCACAAAGATCCAGAAGGTACACAATTCTCCCACCACTGGTATCTTACTGACTGGAAGTCTGGTGACACCTACCAATCCCTGTCCAGCTCCAGCACTGCCACTGGCACCACAGTCATTGAGTGCACCCAAGTTCAGGGCAGCTCAGAGTCTCTTGCCTCGCCTTCCACCTCCAGAGCCACTACACCTTCCCAACTCTCCATTGAAGTGGAGGCCAGGGAGATATCGTCCCCGGGAAGGCCCCCTGGACTGATGTCACCCTCCAGTGGCTACTCCAGCCAGTCAGAAACACCAACACCTACTGTTTCCATGTCCCTGACCCTGGGCCACTTACCCCCTCCAAGCAGCAGTGTCCGGGTACGTCCAGTGGTACCTGAGAGGAAGTCATCACTACCCCCAACGTCACCAATGGAGAAATTTCCCAAGTCACGGCTATCATTTGACCTACCACTGACCTCTTCACCCAACCTGGATCTGTCTGGGATGAGTATCTCCATCCGAAGCAAAACCAAGGTGAGTCGGCACCACTCAGAGACAAATTTTGGTGTCAAGCTGGCCCAAAAAACTAATCCCAACCAGCCAATCATGCCTATGGTTACTCAGTCTGACCTACGTTCTGTTCGCCTGAGGTCGGTCAGCAAGTCTGAGCCAGAAGATGACATTGAGAGCCCTGACTATGCCGAGGAATCCAGAGCAGAAGAAGTCTTCACCTTGCCAGAGAGAAAGACAAAACCTCCCGTAGCTGAGAAGCCTCCGGTGGCCCGGAGGCCTCCAAGCTTGGTCCACAAGCCACCATCTGTTCCTGAGGAGTACGCGCTAACTTCACCAACCTTGGCTATGCCCCCCAGGAGCTCAATTCAATATGTGAGACCACTCCCTCAAGACAGCTACACGGTAGTGCGGAAACCAAAGTCCTCCAGCTTCCCAGATGGCAGAAGCCCAGGGGAGTCAACAGCACCCTCATCTCTTGTTTTCACGCCTTTTGCCAGTTCCTCTGGTGCTTTCTTCTCAGGAACACAGCAGCCTCCCCAGGGAAGTGTGGAGGACGAGGGCCCCAAGGTGAGGGCCCTGCCTGAAAGAATTAGCCTCCAGAGCCAGGAAGAAGCTGAGAAAAAGAAAGGCAAGATTCCACCTCCCGTACCAAAAAAACCCAGCGTGCTGTACCTGCCTCTCACTTCTCCCACAGCTCAAATGGAGGCCTATGTGGCAGAACCAAGACTGCCTCTCAGCCCCATCATCACCCTGGAGGAAGACGCCAAGTGTCCCCCCACCAGCGATGACCTGCAATCACTTGGTCAAAGGGTGACTTCAACTCCTCAGGCTGACAGTGAAAGGGAGGCAAGCCATCTGGGTTAGTAAACTGTCTGTTGGCTTTTTCCTTCAGTCACAGGAGAGATGAGGGTGAGAATGAAGTGCCAGAGATGGAAGCACATGCCCCAGAATAATTATCCTGATCCTAAGTCAGTGCGGGCACCTCTTGAGGGTTTGGGTTACTCTAAATAGGAACCACGGGCTGGCCTTACTGCCCTTGAGATCAAGACTAGCCCGAGGCAGATCTCCAAGGCCCAGTTTAGGCCACTCTCCCCTCTAAATCCCTAGTGCTGAGATAATGAAATCAAACTAGGTTCTAGCACCCTAGGACTTCAGCATCCCACGTCCCTAGCCAAGCATGCATCCTATCATGGGAACTACTCCTCCACCTCACTGTACAGTACTTTTCACTGGCTGCACTGAGTTTAATTCCCTACATGGGACTCAATACCCCACCAGACTGAGTTCATGTGCCATGTCAGGCTTGGAGCCATCTGACACAATGGAATATGTTGCCACCAGCAGCCTCTCTTTGTGCCTTCCCGGAGGAAAGGGAGCTCACTTTCTTGGGTGGTTTGAGTTCTTTGGCTCTTCCTGGAACCATAAAACATAATACGTAATGTTTCTCATCCTTTCTTTTTCTGTCTGTCTTTGTTTTAATTGTGGTAAAGTACCCATAACATTTACCATCTTGACCATTTTTAAGTGTGCAGTTCATTCGTGTTAAGCACATTCACATTGTTAAGCAACCAATCTCCCAAACTCCTTTCATCTTGCAAAATTGAAACTCTGTACCCAGTAAACAACAACTCCTCTTTCTCCCTCCCCCCAGATTCCTCCCTCCAACCACCATTCCACTTTCTGGCTCTATGAATTTGACTCTAGACACCTCATATAAGTGGAATCATACAGTATTTGTCTTTTTGTGACTGGCTTATTCCACTTAGCTAATGTTGTCAGTGTTCATCCATGTTTCTCATTCTTTTCTGAACCCTTAACACCAAAAATCGAAATCTCATGGCCTTCTATATGCAGATTTGGACTTTCAGTATGAGTCAATCATGACTAAGCCAAGCAAATAAATCAAAGCCCCAGGTAGTTGTAGAAAACGCTTCCTCAGACTCCACAGGCTCCCCTCTGAGATTCAAGTAGGTTCCACTCTAACCCACTGGGTGGGAGTCAGTACTTTAGATCGTTCCCAGCTCCTTCATTTAGAGAAATTATATACAGTGTTTAAAACAAGAGAATGCTCGGCCCACCCGTTATAATAACAAAGGCATGAGAGAATAGGGCCCCATGCTGATCTTCACCACTCACTTCACCTTGGGCAAATCTTTAAGCTTCTGGACTTCATGTTCCTCCTCTGCAAAATGGAGATATTAAAAATCTCCACCCTGCTGCCCTCACAGAGTTGCTTTGACCATCAAATGAAATAACATATGAGAATGTACTTTGTCCTATCTATTGTGGTCAAAGTCATTCCTTTTGGTTTTTTATGTCTAGGGAGTTCCGTGGAACCAGGCACCGAAGAAAAAAGTTTAATCAGTGATAAAACAGCCGAATGGATTGCGGAGGATGATGATGACGTGTTTGTGGCTTCACGCACAACTGAAGATTTATTTACTGTGATACACAGGTCTGCACCAGTTTCCTTAATTCTAATTGCAATTGCCTTCCCTTTTTGTACTGAAAGAAAAACTGCTATTCCACATTGAAATCCTAATTGTAAAAGAAAAAAAAATTAAAAGTAAGAAAAAACTGCTACCTCTAAGCAGCCATTAGAATTGCACCTGGAGGCTAAGTTCAGATACCCACATATGTGAGCGCAGTCCAGGGCCTCGCATCTCAAATTCACTGATGTCGTTGGGTAAAGTGGAGGAAGGGAGGGGAGAGGAGGACCAGGTGCCGAGTGAGAGGCCCCTCGTCTCCTAGCAACCACTTGGCCTATTGTGGCTCCATCTGCTCTCTCTTAGCTCTGTCTATAGTCAGAGACATTTAACCCTTCACAGAATTCCTTGTACCAAAAAAAATCCCATCAAGAGGTGAAGTGGGGCACCAGGCAGCATATTAAAACAGGAACTTAGGCAAAGAGGAACAAGATGGGGACCAGTTATTGGACAGGATTACAAGGCAGGGTTTCAGTGACAAGAAAACTGGGAAGAGTCTTATTATTGGAGCTAGACCACCAGTCCAGAACAGGATCAGTCCCCAGGCTGTCCTGATTCAGAGTCACTGAGCTACTAGCCTTGACTCCTGAAATTCGTCCTTGGTCCCAGAACCTGGGCAGGACTGAGGCTACAGGCACAGGACAAGTGACTCCAGCTGGGGGCATTGAAAGGAATGTGGGGACGGGAGGGCCCAAGAAGGGTCTCTGAGGATTTAGAGGTGAGAGAGAGAGAAAGCAGATCAATACAGCTGCTTAAAGGGCTGCCGCCTGGATTATGTCACAGGCATGGGGGCCTGTGAAGCACTGGTAAATGTCTGCTGCATGAACTCACTCAAACCAAACTTTCTCTTATCTAGGTCCAAAAGGAAGCTGCTCGGCTGGAAGGAACCTGGTGAGGCCTTTGTGGGTGGCAGAACAAGTTCCCACTCACCAATAAAGAACACAGCTGAGTCTCCAATCAGTGAGTCTACCGCCACCACAGGGTCAGGCAGCAGTGCCAACCTAGATGCTGGCAGAAATGATGATTTCAAGGCCTTGCTACAGAAGAAGGGAAGTAAGGCAACTCCAAGGTCTCGTCCCTCAGCAGCTGAACTGCTGAAGACCACTAACCCACTGGCTCGGAGAATTATTGCACAATTTTCAAAAGACTATGAAACCACCGATAACCCCAGTACCTAAGCCCTGGGCTCAACAAGCAGGATTTACTTACTAAACTTGACTAGAGAAGGGGGAAGAGAAAGGGTCTTTAAACAGAACCGTGGGAATAACAACAGAGCCTACATTTCTTTTACATTAACTCACATTCTGGACAGCAGGAGAGAGGCTACTTCATCTAGAGCTAAAATCATCTGGCACTTAATCATCTTCAGACATTTTTATGTTTTCATACTTATAAGCTTGTCATGCCTGACTACCGAGTTTCTTCTTACTTTCCCCCAGTGGTGTGCACTAACTAAGAAGAAATTTTGAGATGCCAGGGCATATGTGCCACTTTTTCAATTCAATAACCCGGCTGCTCCATCCCTGGCTCCTGTCACTGAGGAGTGCAGTGTGAGAGCAGATTGGAGGCTGCCAAACCTGGGGGGCATAGGATGCCATTGCTCATTATTCACTTTCCTAGGGAGGCTCTGATGGCCCTGTGTGCAAACACAGAAAGACTCTGATGCCTCCTCAACCACAGTTTAGCTTTCCTCTGCACTTGCGAGAGGTTTGCAGGGTGCACTTATTTCGGCATGGGGTTGATTGGATGGCTTTTGTGGTGCAGAATATGACTGTGACTCCATCCTGAAACTTAATGCCTTTTTCAGTTTGATTGTCTACACGGAGATCAGGGTGATAAGTTTCAATAAACATATAGACATCCCCCGCCCCCCTCGCAACTCCCATTAGCTAGAAAAGACCAGGACTGGGTTGCTTTGAATGAACCAAGTTTAACCAACAAACAAGACAGCCATTTGTTCACTCAGATCTAGCCTCACAAGTGCACCTTGAGATCCTCCATATGTCTGTCAACAGCGATAGCCAGGATCTGTGCCCAGCTCATGCTGCATTCTAAAAACTCTCATTTCATTTGCATATAACATTCATTACAGGAAGTAATTAACTGAAGGAACAGCGTCATCAAAGGCTCAAGGAGAATAGAAAGTAAGTGCATCTTCCCCCCACCAGTCAATTCAGATTGTGGTTTGTGGTGATTTGGTTTTGTTTAAAGGAAGTCCGACTCTGTTCCAAAAACCAAGAACATATAAACTAAAAGGATCTATCCAAAATCTAAAAGTCAGTCTTGCCAGTTGCTATGGCCCATAATGCACACACACCACACACACACACACAAAAGGGCTACTTTTTGCCATTTAGGTTCTGTGTTTAACCAGCTTTCAATTAACCTTGCTGGGGGAGAGCATAAGAACCTGGGTAAATAGCATACTGAAAGAGCTTCAGAATAATCATTGTGACCCCTCCCTGCCCCCACCCCCCACGAAGCTTATAGGCACTAACTATTCTTGTCAGCTCAATTTTCTAAGCAGAGCAAGAGCAGTGATTCATTTGATTTTTGTATGCCTGATTTCTGGGAGGTTGAGGAGGAAGACAAAGCATTGAGCAAAGAAAACCTGCTGACCAATGATGGAAAGTTAATTGTCTACTGTCTTCAAGAGGCAAAAAGAACAGTGGAATGAAATTGTAGCCTGCTTCACAAAGAGAGTTCCCCAGCCCCTTCCTACTTCACTCCCCACCCAATAGATTCAATGGTCAACCTCCTGGAGGATGCAGTAAGAGTTCCAGAGACAAGCAGTTCTCAACTTTGATAGGTTATATTGCCCAATGAGAAGCCACCTCTTAGCTCAACTGCCCACACTCCAGCTGGACAGAGCAGCTGAAAAACCACACTAAGGACTGAGAAAACTTGGGCCTCTCACAAGAGAAGCCCTAGGCCTAGGCCCTTTGTTGTTATAGTTCTGAATCTGAGACTTCTGGAAACAGGCCAGGCCCACCAACTCCCTTGCAACCAGCACTTTGACACTTAAAATAATAAACAACAAGGCCCAGTTGTTTTTGAAAGTACTAGAACTACTTGGTGTGAAAGTCTTAACCAAATTCGAAATTTCAGGGATTTTGCCTGAAATGAAATCAATTCATCCCTGGCCTCAGTTTATATATGAATGCCACCTTTGTCTGCTCCAGACTTAGAATTCCAAAAAACAAACATTTTCCTCTGTAGTAACTGAAGGAGCGTTTATGCTTTTGCTTAGCAAAAGTGAAAGGACACCAGGGTCTGCTCCTTGGGAACCATTATGACTGGTTGAACGTTAAAGCTGAGTATGGGACTCACATAGTATAGGCCTTGTTACTTCTGTTGACTTTCCTGGAAGTTTCTTGTTTACTACTTCTAACGGGTTTTGCCTCTCCCCTCACCTTGCTACCTCTGGAGGTTTTCCCAAAAGATTCTGAAGCTGAATGCTCAGACACCTTTATGTTTGTCAATTACCTTTAGTCTTGCTTTCCTCTACAATACTCTATATGCCTGGAATTCTTAGAATATCTTCTACATCATCACTGTGGCCCACCCAGTGGTGTTCCCATTAGCACAAGAGGATTTGGGGCAGAAATCATATGGTCAGAGAGGACATTTAAGACTGGAAGTATTCATTTAATTTTTCAAATTAATTTTTTGTAAAGATGGGAGTCTTGCTATGTTGCCCATGCTGGTCTTGAACTCCTGGGCTCAAGCGATCCTCTTGCCTTGGCCTCCCAAAGTGCTGGCATTAAAGGGGTAAGCCACCGTGCCTGGCCTCATTTAATATTTTGCAACAGGTAAACATAGTCCCAAATAAACAACCAAACTGTAAAACTTCTACTAATAACTAATTAACAGAACACCAAGCATATTCCCCACTCCTAACACTCAACCTCTCTCCTACCTTTGATTATCATAACACCACTCTCTCTCCCACCCAGGCACTTACCACAATGTTTGTTGCCTTCTGCACTTGCTCTGCTGAGACTGGAGAAGAGAGGCTGAAAGCCCCTCTCAGAAAGGCTTACAGAGCACTAATTCGATTACTAGTACAAATAATAATGATAATGATTTTTGAAGGTGGAATAGACAAGAGATTTGAGTGAAATTAAGTTGGCCCTAGGAGGTCAGCTTCCATTTCAAGTTGTCCCTATCCTCTTTTTTCCTCCCCATTCCAATCAGTAGCAACAGATGGCTCTGCTAGCCTGACTTTGATCTAGTCACCATCCCCAGGGGAGGAGGTTAACTGTTAACCAAGGATGCTTTGCATTTGGTGGGTAGTCAGTACATGTTTTTGAGGATAGTTATTAATAGTACAATAGCAAGCTTTGCTGGTATCTCCTCTCCTCATCCTGCACTACTTGGCCTGCCTCAGCTCCTGACTGGGCCTCCCCCACCGGCCCCAACTTATCCCTCAGTCCCAAATCCCATGAACTGCATCCCTAGCACAACTCACCCATAAAGGAAGCGAGACAACAGGAAGCAAAATAAATAATTTTAGCTTAATGAACACAAACTGACCAGTTGATCTGGATAAATTACCTTGAACGTGCAGACAGAGGAGATCCTACCAGGCTCTCCTAACGAACATTGCACCTGACATCCAGTGTAACTATCTGGACAACACAGACCCGATTGCAGTCTCTCTGTACCTGTCAGTCTGAGCAGATCTGTCCATGCACCTGCCCTCTTCCTCATCAATGAACAAGTCGGGAAAAAGATGAGTTCACGCTCAGTGCTCTGTTCCTCACTCATTCCGCCTTTCATTATCAAGTCTGTGACACAATGGTGAGCTTTCGCTTTAATATGATTTGCTAGGGCCAGGACTAGGGTGAGGTGAGTGAGGCGCCTAGGGCGCAAAATTCAAAGAGGTGCCCACTCTCAGGGCCATGCAAGTGCCTTACCCTCGTCCCAGCCCTGTGATTTGCACTCTTTAAAGTAATATCAGTTTATCTTCTTCCTATGAACAAGTATAGTCCTTCTGATTTGGGGTGGGGGGTTAACTCCCTATCTCTTGTTGCACCAAATATTTTATTGCTACCTATTTTTCCATTGCTGTAAGTCTTTGTGTGCCTATACATTAAAGAATCTTTAGTAGTGTTAATGTCGGAAAACATAGTTGATTTCTAAGTAATATGCTCCAGGTGGCAATTTAACACCCATTTCAGCAGGGATGCTCCCAGGGCCAGCCCTTCAACAAAAGAGTGACTGAGTTGGAGGTCTGTCACCAGGATCCTCCCTCTCCTCTTTCTGCTCCATTCTCCCAAACCTCGCTTCCCAGCACCAACTCTCCTCAGTGCCTCCTACTTCCTTCTCCTCCTAAGAAAAACATGCTCTCAGGAAAGGGATAAATTCATTTACTTTGAGATTATAAGGCTTAATGCTACCTCTTTTGAGGGTCAGTTGCATTTTAACAAGGGAAAAGCCTTAAGCCAAAGGAATGAAGTTCTACTTGCAGAATGTTAGGCATCAACTAGTGGTAGAAGTGTATTTTTCACCACGGAAAGGCCAAATTCCCTGATGCCTAACTCCAGAGTATAGAAAATATCTTAATTGCCTGGAATCATTTGAGTTACTAGCGGATGGTCAATTAAATTGTCCTGATACCCAATGCTATTCAATATGGTTACTACCAAGGGACTCTCAGAAATGGCTACTAAAAGCCACTGAGAAGGTCTAGATCATTCATATTGTACATTGACATTTTTACATAAATGGAATTAATACTACTTACCATTTGAGTAAAGAACACAAGGATTTAAAGAGTCTGTGAAAATATGTCCTGTTTGTGAAAGGTGAAACTGTCCAATCCATGTCCCGTCAATGTCAGTTGTCCAGTATTGGTGGTGATTATTAAACTTATTGGAGGTACAACTTTACCTCCAATAAGCTTACCTTTACAAGCTTCTGCTTTCCCTGCTTCATCTCTGTTATGGGCTATCAGTCCAGCTTGGTGTGAAAATGAGACTATATCTATACCAGAGCCCCCAGTCCTCTCAAAGCCTTTGCATGTATTTCAGCTACAAGTGACAAGGATATTAGGGATTTAAAAGGACAAGAGAGTGGGAAAGAGGTATAAGGAAGTGCCTTTGTCAAAATGCAGCAAAAAGTATAATGATATAAACATAATATGAAATAAGCAAAGTTTTAGAATACTTTGAAACAGATTTATAGAGGAATACATAGTAAATAGTTATAGACACACATTTGGGGCGTTTTTAATAAGATTAGCAAGAAGACATTTGCATGAGTAATGAACAATGTGAAACGGGCATTATACTTTTGTTCAGTAAAGCCCAAAATCTAGGCCAATCGTTCTCAAAGTGCAGTTCCAGGAGCAGCAACAGCAGCATCCCTGGAGAGAGAGAGAGAGAGAGAGAGAGAGAGAGAGAGAGAGTGAGAGAGTGTGCACGCGCGCATTCCAGTGATGTTACTCCTTCAAGCCCCTGAATCACTATAGCCACCACTCTCCAACTGATTCCAACCTTTACCATTATTTTGGCTCTCATCATAATGACCAGTCTCTGGCCAAGAGGTGTATATTGTTATTTTGGTCAGGCACATGTTTGTTCGGTTTTAAGAAATTATCAGATTGAGAAGTCTCATGTTTTATGGGACTCTGGTGCATATGCTCAAAAAAAAAAAAAAAAAAGAGAACTTATCATATTGGATCAACAAATTGCTCAACCTACAAAATCTTTGATTTGACTTAGCCAGCACATCTGGCCTGCTTTGGGTTTAAAAAAAAAAAAAAAGATTTTTTAAACTCACAAATGGAAAAAAAAGGAAAGGTGTTAGGTTTGTTTGGTATTGCCAGCTCTTAAATACCTGTCTTCACCATGATGGCTGTTCTCCAGTAAGGCTCTGGCAGAAGTAGATTTGATTTTAAGATTTTTGCCTAAATAGTGGAATTTGATAGCAACGAACTCCAAAACAAAATCTGAACTGGAACAACTAGTTAACCCCTCTCAGCCTCTTTGTAATGCCAAGCTTTATAGACATTTATTCCTTAGGTGGTCTTGAGCTTTTTCTAACATCCAATTTTGTAAAACGTTATGCATGCAAACGCAGCATTGTGCTCATTGTACAAGTCACCTCAAATTCATTCCTTCCCCCATGTGTATCATGG